GTTCTCAATTCTATTCCATTGGTCTATGTATCTGTCATTGAACCAATACCAGGCAGTTTTGACTACTGTGGCTGTATAGTAGGTTTTGAGATCCAATAGTAGCCTTTTTTTTACTTTTTTTCCAACTATTTAAAAATTTAAAAATAATTCTTAGCTCGTGAGTCAGGCAAAAACAGGTGATAGGCTGGAATTGGCCCATAAGCTGTATTTGCTGACTCCTGAATTAGAGAAATTCACCATCTCTTTGATTCTCAATCAGGTAATGTCACAGTTTTTTTTTTTTTTTTTTTCCAGACATGTTTCTGTGAATGAAAACACTATTTGCTTGTCTTTTAGAGAAACAGAATATATTCTGTCCAAAAGTCAAAACCAAGCCAGTTGCCATCTAGGTGACTCCATTTTAACAGCAACCCCATGTGACAGAGTAGAACTGTGCTGCATAGAGCTTCAGTGCCTGATTTTTTGGAAGTAGATCTCTAGACCTTTTACCAGCACCTCAAGGTGCTTCTAGGTGAACTTGAATCTCCAAACTTTTAGTTAGCAGCTAAATTAATGTTGATTGTTAGTACGGGTACGCCATGCACTCTGTAGCATGTTAATTCTTTGTACAGGCACTCCATGTACTCTGTAGCCTACTGTTTGCATACTTAACATATGGGATAAACATAGAGCTAAAATAAATGCACTTAACTTCCTGTAAGTGGAGCCGCCCCAAATCTTACTGAAATATCTGAGATTAACATCTAGAAGACACACTTCCCATGAGGTGAACTTGAACTTCAAATGGAACATTATGTTATACATTATATACCCATGAATCATGTACTTAGAATGCAGGGTGCTACTACTAAGGTCCTTCTGACTGCATGGCCATTTGTCACTCATCTTGAATTTGGTCTAACTCATAACTGTTTGGGAGCTCTGGTAGCATAGTGTCTAAGGCACTTGACTACTAACCAGAAAGCTGTTCAAACCCACCAGCCACTCCTCGGAAGGAAGGTTGGGCAATCTACTTCCATTGTGATACTGCCTCGGAAACCCAAGGAGGGGTTGCTATGAGTCGGGTCCCACTTGATGGCATATAACAACGTAACTATTTGGCCCACACTTATTATGAAGAAATTGTCAGATTACTAATCAAATGATGGTGGATAGCATAACAAAATAACAAACCCAAAGAAATTATCCACTAAAAATCCATTTCCTAGGCTTCTCTCTCTTTATATCATCAAGCGGAAACAAGTCCTTACTCAGTATTATAATAATAATTTGAGACAATCAATTTTAAAAGCATGCCAGATTCTATGTGCATAGGCCAAAACAGGCACCCCCCCAAAAAAAAAAAAAAAAAACAACTCACTTCCATTGAATCAATTCCAGCACATTGAGACTCCCTTTGGGTTTCCGAGGAGGTAAATCTTTACAGAAGTTGCTTTCCCAGTCTTCCTTCTGCAAAGTGGCTGGTGGGTAAAGATGATCCTAAATCTCCATGTCCTGGAAGATTGTCTAGCATCTTGCAGGAAATTTTGTTTCATGCTCCTGTTCACAGCAATGAATTTGATATCTCAGTTTACCCAGAAAGATCTATGTATGCAGCACCTGTGGCAGGCATCTCCTTGAGCTTTGGAGGGAATGCATCCATGTGGTTAGCCAAGCCTCGAGAGCTTTGGGGTTTTGAGGGTGTTATGGACTGAATTGCATCTCCCCAAAATACGTTGAAAAACCCTAACCCATGTACCTATAAATATGACCCTGTTTGGAAATAAGGGTTTTCTCTTGTTATTGTTAAAGAGGTTGTACCACAGTAAGGTGGGTCCTAACCCTAATCACTCTAAGTTATCAAAGAGCAGAATAGACCTAGAGACACAGTCAGGGGGAAGATGCCAGATGAACAGATCCACAGAGGAGATCCAACCACAAGCCCAGGAACTCCAAGGATTGCTGGTTATTAAAAGTTAAAATAGACAAGAAAGGACCTCCCCCAGAGCCATCCCCTGAGTTTGGACTTCGAGCCTCCTGAACTGGGAGAAGATACATACCTATTCTTTAAAGCCACCCACATGTGATACTTTTTTTATGGCAGCACTACCTAAATGACTTAGAGGGTAAACAGCAGAGTCTATTAGAGGCTGCAGAACATAGAACTTAGGAGCTCCGCTTCTGAAGTGAAATTGCCTGGGCTGGGATCCTAGCTTTGCCAACTAGCCTTGTGATAAAATGCTTAACCACTTTGACCTCGGTATCCTAACCTAGGAAATAAGGCTATTAATATTATCAATAGGATTGTTGTGAGGAGTAAATGACTAATAAACTACCACCATCGAGTTGATTCTGACTCCTAGCAACCCTATAGGACAGAGTAGAACTCTCCCATAGGTTTTGAAGGCTGTAAATCTTTACGCAAGCATATTGCCTCATCTTTCTTCCATGGGGCATCTAGTGGGTTCAAACCACTGACCCTTTCGTTAGCAGCTGAATACCTTAACCACTGCATCACTAGAGCTCCTGAGTACAGGTAAGAGGGTTAGTAGAGAGCCTGGCCTATAGTAGGCATTCAACACAAGTTAGCTTTTATTTTTATCAGAGAAGTGATGTGATAAAGTGAAAATACCATAGGAACAGGGATTGGGAAATCAGATTCTAGCTTTCCCTCCACTATTTATTAGCTGTGAACCCTTAGAATAGTATTTTCACCTCTCTGGTTTTCAATTGCCTTTTTCATCACATGAGAACAATAATGTATTCCTTACCTGCCTAACAGCAGAGGGCTGGATCCAAGGACTAAAATGTCCTTCAGGACAAGGTCATTTTTAAGGCCACATCTGAAATTAAACAGCCCTGTAGCACAGCCCCAACAATGCACAGTCCCAGATAATGGATCAATTGAGCAACAACAACCACAAAAAATGAAAGAACAATAAACTACAGTAAAGACTTTTTTGTTTCAAATTATTTTAGACATCGAAACAAACACAAAATGTATTTTGGTGTTTAAACATAAAGCACCCAAATGTTTCACAGTAGACAACTATTCCCCCAGTGATTACAAAGGTCAACATTAATTGATAATAATGATAACAAAGCAGTTATTCTTTATCTTCTCTGACCTCTGGCTGGTCATACCCATGAAACATTTGTGAAGTAGTACACATATGTTTTTTTTAAATAGAACTTCTCAGTTTGATGGTGCTAATGGTGTCAAAGGTATGGATTCCTGCACAAACAAGTTTACCTTGTTCAGCCTCAAGGTCACAAATACCAGTCCTCACCCCAGTCTGCCTCTAGTATTCTTCTGGCTTCAGAATGAATGACTGTGCATGGGAGAGAGCTGGATCATTGCAAATCTGTCTCCACATCTAGAAATAAAAGAACTGCAAACACATGCCCTGCTGATGAAGGCTTTTACTGCACACATATAAGAAATGTGTGAAGGAGATTTCAAAAGAAGACCATGAGTATCCGACCTTTCAAGGAATGGTTTAGAGGCCTCAGTGCTGAGTCTCTGCATCTCTTTGCTCACAGAATTGGCTCTATGTATCTAGGACTATAATCACAAACCTGGCAGGGAATAGTTATTTTAATGTGGATGGGAAATGCCAGTGATCCTACCTATTACAGAGGCAAACTCCTTCATAATTTTGATCAGAGCCTTTCACTATCATTGGTAGTCCTAGGAAGGAGACACATCCTGAGTCCTCTGAATGGTGTTCTGATTCCTTGCCCAACAGACTGTCAACAGATCTCTTTGCCTCACTGGCCTCTGGTTTCCTCTATCTATAAACTAGAGCTAAGAATACTCACCCTTCCCATAAGATGGGGCTAAGAACCCAAAAAGAAAAAGATTTGTAGATACAGCTAGAAATGGGAGTGGAGCTCATCATGATGGGAGCAGGCTCTTCCTTAAAGGAACTCCAAGTTCTCACTAATTGTAGAACACTATGTCTTCCATTCCAGGTACCCCAAACTGGCTGCAAAACACCGGGAATCCAACACAGCAGGCATTGACATATTTTCCAAGTTCTCTGCCTACATCAAAAACACAAAGCAGCAAGACAATGCTGGTAAGTGACTCTCTTCTGTTCCCTGCCCTTGGCCCAGATACTCAGGTCAGATAGCCATCTAGAACTAATGCTTTTTGACTCTTGGCCCACCCTGCTTTCCCCTTGACACTGGGAGGAGTTTGTGGACCTGTCCTGCCTGTTCCCTGGCTAGTGCTGGAGGAAAGACCAGGTGGAACTTACTGTTGAATTGGAGGTAGGGATGCAGGTTGACTGAGTGTTCCTTGTTGCACAGCATAATATACTGTAGGCAATGGTCCTGCTTCAGCTTTATTACTGTCCATTTGTCCCAAATGCTGTCCCACGATGCTGCTTGTGACCACAGGAAGTTCTGATTGGAACAACACATTCCAGTTTCCTTTTGGTCCCTGAAATGGGGTAGACAAGAGGCATGGGAGGGGCAGCACAGCTGCCACAGTGGAGAAGGCTGGAGGCAGATGCCGGCCCTCTGCGTTCACCCCTACTGCTGGGGAAGGCACTGCTCAAAGCACAGCTTCAACTTCCATCTGGCCTTTAATGCATTCTTTTCCTTTAACTTTTTATTGTAATTTGGGTGAAAGTTTACAAAGCAAATTGGTTTTCCAGTCAACAATTCGTGCACATTTTGTTTTTGACATTGATTGCAATCCCCACAAAGTAATAGCACTCTTTCCACTTCTTCATTGTGTTTACCTTTTCCCTGTGTCCTTCTTTCCTATCCCTTCCTGCCCTCTGAGATTTATCCCTGGGAAAATGCTGCCCCTTTGATCTCATGTGGTTGGCTGTTCTAAGGAGTGCATACCTCCCTGATGTTAATTGTTCACCTTATAGGCCTGTTTATTGTTTGTCTGAAAGTTGAGCTACTGAGGTGAGTTCAGTTCCTGGCTTGAAGGGTGTCTAAAGGCCAGAGTCTTAGGGGTTCCACCAGTCCCTATCAGACCAGTAAGCCTGGTTTTTTTTTTTTTTTTTGCTTTTTATGATTTTGAATTTTTCCCCACATTTTTCTCCCACTCTATTTGGCACCTCCTCTTGTGATCCCTTTCAGAATAGTCAGCAATGGTAGCTGGGTAGCATCTAGTTCTGGATTCAGGATCATGGAGTCTGGGGTTCGTGTGTTCCATTTGTCCTTTGGGCTAATTGTTTCCATGTGTCCTTGATTTCCTTCACATTTCTTTGCTCTGGATGGGGAGAGAACACTAGTTGCACCTTACAGACCACTCACAAGCTTTAAGACATGAGTGTCACTACTCGCCAAAGTAGGATATAGAATATTGTTTTTGTGGACAACGTTATACCAATTGACTTTGATATCCCCAAGACTATGGTCCTGAGACCCCAGGCCTAGCTGCTCATTCCCTCAAGGTGTCTGGTTATGGCTAAGAAGTCTTCATAACTTCCCTTCTATATGCTCTACTATATTCATGGATATATTTGCAGCACATATAAATACATATATAGAAATATCCTTTGTCAAACCTATATGTATTTGTGGATTTAGTCTCATTCACCTTCCCATTCCTATTCAGCTTGCATACCTATCTATGTATCCACTTGTGGATTGTTGTTATTACTGTTACTGCAGGATTGTGCTTGCATTGTTTTACCTTAGTTGCCATTAACTCTTTTTTTTTTTTTTTTTATTGTGATTTGGGTGAAAATTTACAGAGTAAATTCACTTTCCATACAGCAATTCACATACACTTTGTCTCATGCCATTGACCACAATTTACCACAATGCAACAGCTCTCCTCCCCTCCTACTTCCTCCCAATAGTTACCTCTTCCCTGTGTCCATCCCTCCATGCACTCCTGTCCCCTGAGCTGTCTCCCTGTGCATAAAAAGCCCTTCTTTCTCCCATGATTGTTCTCTCCAAGGAGTGCCATTAAATCTTGTACTCCTCCCAATATTTTCCTTTGCACTGATCAATTGTGCTTACCTCCCTCTTATTGTACATTGCTTTTCCCTTCACTCAAGTTAATATGTGTCTACTGTCTAGTTAGTGGCTTCCCTTCCCTTCCACTCCCATCCCTGGTAAACTTCAAAGCATATTTCTTTCTTGTGTAAACTTTTCTTGACTTCTTATAGTAGTGGTCTCATACAGTATTTGTGCTTTGGTGAATTGACTAATTTCACTTAGCCTAATGTCCTCCAGGGTCATCCATGTTATGAGGTATTTCGCAGATTCGTCGTTATTTAATATTACATAGCATTCCATTGTATGTATGTACCACAGTTTGTTTATCCATTCATCTGTTAATGGACACTTCAGTTGTTTCCATCTTTTTGCTATTGTAAATAGTGGTGTGATAAATATGGATGTGATATATCTATTCATGTCATGGCCCTTTTTTCTCTAGGATAGATGCCTAGTAGAAGGGTAGCTGGATCAGATGGTATTTCTATTTACAGCTTTTTAAGGAAGCATTATACAGTTTTGCACAGTGGTTGCACCAGTTATAAGAGTTCTAGTCTCTCCACACCCTTGCCAGCATTTGTTGTTTTCTGCTTTTTTGAACTTTACTATTAATGCTAGGTTGAAAACATGTATCCCTGTTGTTTTGATTTGCATCTCTCTAATGGATAATGATCACAAACATTTTCTTCATGTGTTTGTTAGCTTTCTGAAAATCTTCTCTGTTGAAATGTCTGTTCATGTTCTCTCTCCATTTTTCATTTGGATTATTTGTCTTTTTGTTATTGAGGTGTTGAAGTTTTCTATAAATTTTAGAGATCAGTCCCTTGTCAGATAGGTTGTTACCAAAATTTTTTTCCCCAGTCTGTAGGATCTCTTTTTACTTTTTTGGTGAAGTCTTTCAATACGTGTAAGTATTTAATTTTTGGGAGGTCTAGTTTTCTAGTTTGTCTTCTGTTTGAGCATTTTTAGATATGTTTGATAGTACATTTATGCCATATATTAGATCCTCTATGTTTGCCCTGGGAGCTCTGGTAGCATACTGGCTAAGACACTTGCCTGCTAACCAGACGGCTGGCGGTTCAAACCCACCAGCCACTCCTCGGAAGGAAGGTTGGGCAATCCTACTTCCGTAGTGATACTGCCTCGGAAACCCAAGGAGGGGTCGTTATGAGTCAGGGCCGACTCGATGGCACATAACAACAACAACAATAATGTTTGCCCTTATTTTTCTTTGATAAACTTTATGGTTTTATATTTTCCATTTAGGTCTAGGTCCATCTTGAGTTAGTTTTTGTATATGGTTAGAGATATGGATGTTGTTTTTTCTTTTTTTCACGAATGGATAACCAGTTTTCCATCACCTTTTGTTAAAAAGACTATCTCTTCCCCATTTAATGAGTTTCAGCCCTTTTTCAAAGATCAGCTATCCATAGGTGGATGGATTTACTTAGAGGTTTTCAATTAGGTTCCATAGGTCTATGTGTCTGTCATTTTTACAAATACCAGATTCTTTTGACTACTGTGGCTATACAGCAGGTTTTGAGATTGGGGAATGTGAGACTTCCTACTTTGTTCTTCTTTAGTAGTGATTTACTTATCTGGGGACTCTTTCCTTTCCATCTAAAATTGGTGATTAGTTTTTCCCATGTCCTTAAGGAATGATGATGGAATCTGGATCAGGATTTCATTATATCTGTAAATTGCTTTGGGTAGTATTGACATTTTCACAATGTTAAGTCTTCTATCCATTGATATGTTCTTCCATTCACATGCGTCTCTTTTGGTTTCTTGTAGCAGTGTTTTGTCATTTTCTTTGTATGAGTCTTTTGTATCTTTGGTTAGATTTATTCCTAAGTACTTCATCTTTTGGATGGCTATTGTAAATGGTGTGGTTTTCCTGATTTCCTTTTCAGAGTTCTCTTTGTTAGTGTAGAAGGAACTGACTGATTTTTGTATGTTCATCTTGAACCTTGCCTTCTATGAGTTACTGTAGTTTTCTTGTTGAGTCTCTGGCATTTTCTATATATAGGATTATGTCATTTGCAAATAGAGATAGTTTTATTTTCTTCTTTGCCAATTTGGATGCCTTTTATTTCCTTTTCTTGCCTTTTTGCTCTGGCTGTTGTTGTGTGCTGTCAAGTAGGACCTGACTCATAGCGACCCCTCTTTGGGTTTCCAAGACGGTATCACCATAGAAGTAGATTGCCCAACCTTCCTTCCGAGGAGTGTCTGGTGAGTTTGAACCACCAGCCTTCTGGTTAGCAGTCAAGTGCCTTAGGCACTATGCTACCAGAGCTAGGACTTCCAATACAATATTGAATAGGAGGGGTGATAAAGAGCATCCTTGTCTAGTTTTGGTTCACAAGGAGAATGTTTTCAGTATCTCTCCATTTACGATAATGCTGCTGGCCCTTAATTTCTGGGATTGGCTACAGAGCTCAGCACGTGATTCTCTTGGGATGGCTCCTCATTGGGTTTTGAGCCCTTTGTTTTAGCTCATAGCTCATTTATTCCCTCATTTGGCATTCTTCTTTGAGAATTAGCTAAGGTAATTTGAATAAAGCCATCAAATTAAACATATGTAATGTTTGCAAGGAGCTCTGGTAGCATAGTGGCTAAAGTACTTGACTGCTAACCAGAAGGCTGGAGGTTCAAACCCACCAGCCACTCCTTGGAAGGAAGGTTGGGCAATCCTACTTCCGTAGTGATACT